CAGTTGCAAACTTTATCACTTTGCTTCACTTAATATCCATCAAAGAGTTCAATCATGCAAGATAACTCTATATCCATAGAGAAAAGATGAAATATAGATTAAAGATCCTTACAAATGATCCAGCAAGATGATTCCTGAGATTGGACAGTGTTGTTTGCTTGATTCTTGCACTCAATCTTCTTCTACGTCCTTCAAAATCACCAAAAAACTTGAAAATGCGCTCAAAAGCTTCAATGTGGGTTAGGGTTAGGTTTCTGGGGCTTGAGAGTGATGGAGGTTGAAGATGGGCAACCCTAACCTCCCTATTTTCCTTTAAATACCCGAAAATTTAGGGTTTTCACGTCATAGGGTCGCCACGTCATGGCCAATAGATGCTACGTCGTGGGGATCATTAAATGATCCGCGAAACTTCTAGCATCGCCACCTCGTGGGATGCCTTCACCACGACGTGGTCACTCCCAAAATCCAAAATAAATTAAAATTAAATACCTCCAAGAATCCAAATGTTACAGTATGTGTGTATGGTTAAATATTAGTAGTATTGTGTTAAATATCGACCATATATTAGATAAAGATAGAGTATGGATGTATAGCTAGATGCTAATGGTATTGTGTTAAATACCTACATGTTATTAGATGCAGAATTAGATTGAGTACTTAATGAATTAAGTACTAGATGGATAGTAGATGTTTCTTAATGAAATGATGAGATATAATGTAATGTGGAAAGTGATATGTAAGACTATGGGTAGACCATAACATTCATACGAAAGATTATTAGCATGTAGAAAGATGATTCCTTCGGGAATGAGATTATGATTCCTACGAGAATGAGATTATGATTCCGTCGGGAATGAGATTATGATTCCTACGGAAATGAGATTATGATTCCTACAAGAATGAGATTATGATTCTTTAGGGGATGAGATTATGATTCCTTCAGGAATAACATATAAACAGATGATTCACGCAAGATTAAGATTATATGTTGTTTGGGAAGGTAGAGAAAGGGGTTTCATGAATGGAACAAAGAGAATTCTTCTAAAGAACCTTGATATATAATCCGTGAGGGATTAAGTGTAGAGGATCCATAAGGAATCATTGCAATCCACGTAGGATGCAAGAAAATAGATGTTTCCAAAAGATCCACGATGGATTAAAGTGTGGGGATTAAGTCAGATAATATTACTCTGATAAGATAAAGTTATGTTGTTCCCCTATATATAACATATATACAATATGTTACGAGGTTAGACCGGCTAGGTCTAAATGAGAATATAATGGCAAAGCATGAGAATATGAGAATATAGAGGTAGCGTGTGAGAAAAGATGAGATGAGAAAGGAGGATGAGAAGAGTAAAGAGATAAGATAAAAGAGTATGAGAAATGTAAAGATATGAGATGAGATGAGATGAGTATGAGAAGAGTTAGATATAGAGTACTAGATAAGTACGAGAAGATACGAGAAGGCATGAGATGAGATAAAGCAAGAGATTAGATGAGACGAAAATAGAGTATGAAGAGTATGGAAAGAGGAGAACAAAATAGTAGGGTATGAGAAGAAGATAACATAATGTTAGAGTATGAAAATAAAGAAAGACTAGAAGTAGAGTATGATGACATGAAAACAGAGTATGATATAACTCACCCAACCTGTGGGCTGATGTTGTAGATTTTTCATGTGATACAGGTTCAGATAGTTTATTGATTAAATATTATGTAAGTTTATTGAAAGAAAAAAATAAATAATACATAACATAATAAATAAATAAATAATAGAAATGAAACTAGGATGTTGCTCCAAACTAGTGAGAAGATTTACGTAATTTAGCCGATAACAATTTATTTTTTAGACAAAAGTGCAAAAATGATTTCTGTGGTATGTATTTTTTCATGGACAAAATTACAAGAATGGTTCCTGTGGTATTTCAAAACTAGCAAGTTTGGTCAAAACAAGTTTGGACTCGCAATGGTGGTCCAAAAGTTTCAATTTGTTGCGAGTTTGGTCTATTTTGTTTTAAATTTTTATTAAATGACGATTTTGTCCTTGGTATTTTCTTTTTTTAGTTTTTTATTACAAAAATCTAAAAAAGAAAAGAAAAAGGAAAATACTTTCTCTCTCTCTCTCTCTCTCTCTCATGTTATCCATCCTAAACACATCTTCTTACCCATCTTCTTCTTCATCCTCAAGAACACTCAAGAACATCTTTGATTACTACCATCGTTCGACCACCTTCCTCTACTACTACAGTCCGCCACCTCCATCTCCACCTAAATCAGTTCAGATGAACACACACATACACATACGAAATCAGATGAACACACATACATCAAATATGACGAACACACACAGATCAACACAAACATCCCTCAAATTTTCAACAGATTCAATATAACACACACACACACACACACACACACATATATATATATATATATATATATATATATATATATATATATATATATATAGAGAGAGAGAGAGAGGAGAGAAGAGAGAGAGAGAGAGAGAGAGAGAGAGAGAGAGATTAAACACATACACACAAACTCGAACAAAACCAATGATTTGGCGAAGATGACGGAGAATCAGAACGCCACCACCACCACGACCTGGAAAATGAGATTAGAGAGACGAAGGACGATGTAGAAACCCTTCATCGGAGTTCAGATCTATCTCGCCGCCATCTTCCTCGACAAACCCTAGCCGCTGCCACCTTCGTTTCTATCCTTATCCGTTAATTTTTAACACCACCAACACCATCTTCATGTCACCTTCTCAGGCGAATAGATCTAAACTAGGAACGACGACGAGGGGAACAAGTCTAAACCCTATCCGCCACCACCTTCAACCCCTGCTACATCTCGTCTTAGGTTTAAAAACCATAGCTTCATCAAGCAGTACACGCCATTGTGGTGGTTCGATTCATGTTGGGATCTGGAGATACAAAGAAACAACGTCGATCTAAAACCCTTGTCGTCGATCTATCCCAAGGTCTTTGTTTTTCCGACAAAGAAAGAGAGATGACGGTTCGATTCGTGTGGGATCTAGAATACAAACTCGTCTTCGTCACCGCCTCTACAAACTATAGCTTCGATCTCTTTGTCACCGCTGCCGCCACCTCTAAAGAACACCGATAGTGGTGAAGGTGCTACTTTGGGGGTGTTTATAGAGCTTTACCGATGACTGCTTCGGTAATGGTAGGCAGTCAAACAAGAGCAAACCTAAGATTTGCAGTAGAGATGAATGATTTTGTTGATGGGTTCAAAGGGTTTTGATTTTTTGTTCATTGATGTTCCAGAGAGAGAGAGAGATGAGTATTTTTTTCTTTTTTAGATTTTTGAAATAAAAAAACTGAAAAAAAGAAAATATCAAAGACAAAATCGTCATTTTATAAAAAAAAATCAAAACAAAATGGACCAAACTCACCACTTGGGTTGTGGTGACTTGGTAAGGCATGTGAAAGATATGGTGGATAACCTATTGACCCATGTTCAAATCCTGGCACTACTCAGCCCTTGTGGCCATGGAGGTTCGCCTGCAGTGACTCCACGGCATGAGTCAAAGCCTCATGTTTGCAGCGGGGGATTAGTCGGTGCGCGAAAGCTGGCCCGGAAACCCTCGTTAGGGAAGTTCCCTTTCAAAAAAAAAACTCGCAACAAAATGAAACTTTTGGACCACCCTTGCAAGTCCAAACTTGTTTGGACCAAACTTGCTAGTTTTGACATACCATAGGATCATTCTTGCAATTTTATCTTTCATGAAAAATATCAAAATCATTAAACTTTTGGATTGATGATTATTTTGAGCAAGTTTAATTATGGTTTTTGTCATTTGAAAATTTGAAAAGACTAAAATGTCATTATGATATATTTTTTTCTATTTAATTTAAAATTTAGTAATAATAAATTTGTAATCCGACTTTTTCTCTCTCTCACAAGAAGTTGATTATGTAATGGGTTTTCTTGTGATTTGGAGACGTGTGGAGCAATGTTTTAAAAACCGGTTTGAACCGGCCGGTGAAACCGGTTGGACCGGGAACCGGGGGAGGGAGCGGTTCAACTATCATCGGTTTTACGTCGATTTTTGAACCGGATTGAATCGGCCGGTTTTTAGAAAAATCCGGTTGAACCGGTCAAAATAAACCGGTTAAACCAAATAAAAACATCTGGAAAAGAACCATTGACATAATAAACTTTGGTGATTTTTTTCAAATCTATTTTGTTTTCTCTAGATAAAAACATATTGTATATGGGGTTATCTACAGAAAAGTCCCAAACTTTTTTTCAAAAGTTTCAATAAAGTCCTAAAAGTTTTTTTTGAACAGAAAAGTCTCAATATTTTGATTTTTTGCCTAAATTTACGAAAAAGTCATTTTTTATATTTGAACAGCAAATGATAGATTATATGATTTTTTTCAAAATATTAAGACTTTTTTGTTCAAAAAAAACTTTTAGGACTTTATTGAAACTTTTGAAAAAAGTTTGGGACTTTTCTGTAGATAACCCTTGTATATGTTATAACGTTTTTTGATGTGTTCTCTATTCATCTAAAACTATACTTTGTTTCGGTATTATTCTTTATTTTCTTTTTGACATATATGGATTGATGTAAAACATTAAAACTTCTGGTTATGTCATATTTTAATGTATTTGGATTGATTTACAACTTAATTTTATGTATATTTTTAATATTTGAACTTGTAAACGTCAAATCATGGTTTATATATGTATGTGTAGGAAAATAGAAAAAAAAATGAAAATTATAGAAACCGGTTTTTCCGACGGTTGAACCGGTTGAACAGGGAATCGGTCACCATACCGGTTCAAGTAAAAAAATCGGTTTTTAAAACATTAGTGAGGAGAAGACGAAGAGAATGATTAAAAGTACTACTCTGAAACTTCTATTGACCATTTTATTTAAAAAAAAATGCATTTTTTTTAAATCGAACCCGATAGTCTTTCGTATTTTGTGAAAGGATAAATAAAGTTCGTTTAAAAGATCCCAACTTTTCCTTCTCTCTCAAAAGCTTCAATATCCACATTTCTCTCTCATCATCATAAGATAGAACAAATCTTTATATGGGTTTTCTTGAGTTTGCGTTTCCTACATCAATATCATCAAGCACTGTTCTTTGGAGTATTCTTATCTGGATTCTCTAAAACCCCCATTTTTGGTCTTTGACTTGCTTCAAATATATGAACAAACAAGGGTTCTCTCTCTAAAGCTCTCTGGTTTTTTGGGTGTGGAATCTTGGTGGATTTTTTAACCTCAACAACATCTCTCCAATGGCTTCTTCATTGAACCCCATTAGTTTTCCTGGTTATCCTACTTCGTTTAACGAAACCCTAATCAAATCAAATAGACCCCTTACCCCTTCAGTTCACGCCACAGATTTCTTGACCAAAAGATCCCAACTTTTCTCAGTTCAGAAGGGTTTAACTTCAAGTTCTTGGCATGCGAAAACCCCTATTCATGTATGTTCAAATTTATGAAGCCTTTTTAATTTTTCATTAATGGGGTTATGATCCCTTAATACTAAGTTCGATTTCATTTTTTCATGATTACAGGCACATGCATCAATTTGTGTGAGCAAATCCATGAGATGGTGGGAAAAGACGCTTAAACCCAACATGATTGAGATTAATTCAGCCCAGGAATTGGTGGATACACTATCAAATTCAGGGGATAGATTGGTCATTGTGGAGTTTTATTCACCTGGTTGTGGTGGTTGTAAATCTTTACACCCCAAGGTATGAACTTCTGAAATCCCTCTTAATTATTTGTTAAATTTTAATTTAATTAACTTTTTTTTTGTTTGTTTATAATCAGATCTGTCAACTGGCTGAGTCAAACCCTAATACAATTTTCCTCCAAGTGAACTATGAAGAACTCAAACCCATGTGTCATTCTCTTCATATTCATGTTTTGCCCTTTTTCAGATTCTACAAAGGTTCCCAAGGCAAGCTTTGTAGCTTTAGCTGCACCATTGCAACTGTAAGTCGATTCTGGTTATGTTTTATTGATTATTAAACGAATTAAAGTTTATAGAATTGGTCAAAGAAAGAAATGGGTCAGATAATGTAACACTTTTGATCGGACCTGTTTTTGACCCGATATAATTGTCCCTTTCAATCCAAATGGATAATTACATCTTGTCTATTTTGTGAGTTATATAAAAATAGTATTATAAAAAACGTTTACTTTATAAGAATAATTGGTTGATGGGATGAATCTTGATTTTATGCCTACAGATCAAGAAATTCAAAGATGCGGTGTCAAAGCATAAGAATGATGCGTGTGATCTAAATCTTGGTCCAGCCAAAGGATTAGAGGAATCTGAGCTGTTGACTTTATCTTCAATTGGTCAAATTTCATATCATTTGCCACAAAAGTCAAATGAGGAAGATGTGGTTCTTGAAGAGATGAATCCATCTATTAACAAATTACTTCTTGCATAGGTTTTAGATGGTAGTTCGATTTCTTTGCAAACTGCAAAGGGAGTATTTTTCTAGTGAGAATGTTCGCTCGAACCCTTGTAAAAACCGAGAAATTTTGGTGCATCGGATTGGGTGAAGAGATGGGAGGTTAAGTTTTTTGTACATATCTTTTTAAACCTAAAAGTGGGGTTTGTTGGTTTTTAGTTGAAAGATAAGCCCTACTTGTTTGATGTTTGATCATTATGTCGTTAAAGATTGTAACTTGTGATTTGCTGTTATTATCTTATTGTTTTTATTGGAGATTGGTACTAAATTGTATTCTTTCATGGGATTTTAATGACAAAAATGTTGAATCTTATTGATATTATTGTGGTTATGTGCCATAAAGAGTTTCTAGTGTTTTGATTTTTAAAATAAAAAAATGTTTATTTGTTTAAATAATAGTTTTGGATAATAAACACTTTTCTAAAATTGTTTACGACTTATTTAAACAAATTTACCATTAAATATATGTTTATATATACATATCAAATCTTTACTAGTCATTTTACATCTATAAACAAAAATTGTCTTACATTAAAAAACAACTTATCATTTGATATTAAATTAACTAATCCAAATATTTTTAAAAAATTGGATTAAATAAGCAATCATAGCCTCCATTATGTTAATCGATCCCTACACTACAAAATTACTAAGAAATACCTTTATGTCCATATGGTCTCTCCTTCCATTAAATGACTATTTTACTACCAAATGCTTTCTAGTTCAATAGTGTTGTTTTTCTTTTTTGGGGTTGAAGGTCGACATAGGTAGATTATTTAAAAGGAGTTTAGGATTATATTATATTTGTTGTTAAAAAAGAAAACTATTTTACTAATTTGTTATTTTTTAGGTCATTTTAATTTATGGTCATGTGGTCTCTCCGACCACTATTTTTCATTGCCAAACCAAGGATAAAAGTTGTGTGTTTTTTTTTTAATTGTCTTCCCAGTCCATCTAAATATTAGGAATACCGTTTATGCTTATTTATTCCTCCCATTTTCATTTCCTTCCATTCCAAAAAAAATAAATAAATAAACTTAAAAACATGTTTTTCCTTTCTAATTCCTTCCTTTCATTCTCATCCCTTTCATAATAATAATAATAATAATAATAATAATAAAGCTTGAGAACAAGGTTCTACCGATGAAAGTTTAGTTGTTGAGGAGTGAAATTTTACACAAAAGGTCCACGATTCAACCAATAATATATCCAAAATATTAATAGTGTTTTGCTATTGACCTCCCACACAGACGAATGGATGAATTGACATAAGATGCTTAGAAGATGCAATTTACAATTTCTACATATTGTCTTGCTTTTTATATTTCTCTTTTAAAAATGTGATTATATTTATAAAACCAACCACATTATTTATTTGCGTACTTCTTGATTTGATAAACACGTCAAATCAAGGGTATAAATTTAATAAAATTAATATTAGAAAATTTTGGAAATAAGTGCACATCTAATAATGAGGACGTCCAAATATCAAACACTTTAAGAAAATGTACACCTAAAAATAAAAACTCTAACATATATACAAATTCTCAACAAAAAAATGTCAAGTGCAAAGACAATCATAGAAGATTATGTAATATGCATATTCAACCATCATCAGATATTTTTAGATTCACAGATAACCTAATCGACGATCTGTGGAAACGAATCACAAAAATCATCATTGAAATCTTCTAGATCCATAGTTACAACATGCCCATCACCTACACATTGAACAACCATTACCACCACCATCACGAAAAAACTATCTGAAATTACTCTAAATTTCCCTATATATCTATGACAACAAGAAAAATAGAAAGAGAGAAAGGTGGCTTGACTATTACCGAGGGTTGGGTAGGTATTGTGCAGCGACAGTGGTAGAGAGAATAGAGGTAGGGTGAAAGTTGGTGTTTGCACAACATCAAAGTTTGTATCTATGTTTTCAGGTGTCTTGTGTTGTAGAGCTTTGGATTATGACAATTCTTTTGTGACATCCCCAAATTTACGGTCATTTTAAAACTTTTTGTTTATACTTATTTAAAACATAGTCTATTTATAAATGCGGAATTTGATCACGTAAAAGTATTTTCGAAGAAATGTTTTTCATTAATTTATAAAAAGCATGGGATGTCATAATTGATACCAAACATAAGCATAAATAGGTCTTATAGTGTCTTAGACTAATAGTTTACATCTCCTTCAATCTCTCATTGTGTATGTACCTTTGTACCGTTACCTGCGATACAAAGAAGCTGAGTGGGTCAGGTTGGGAAACCTGGTGAGTACATAGGATTTTCAACCCATAATAATATAGTTACTATGTTTAATCATCAAACAAACAATCAACCCAATTACTCATCCCCATTTTCCTATATATTTATTTCTAAGAACATCACCTAAGAATCATCACCTAGGTCGCCATTTCTTGTATAATCAATACCTATCATTGCATTATATATTTCCATTGCTAAGCGTTTCTCCTAATATTCATCGCCTAATCATCCCATTGAATATACGGTTCTTACATCACCTGAACTCATAATTTGTTGGTAGAGTACATCACATGAATATACGGTTCGTAGATCGCCTAAACTTGTAAATTCATCATCTACAGGTTGTAAACCTGTCGGTGATCCACTAGACTATATAGATTAGTCTGTGGTCGTCATCTATACTCTACTATATGAATACATCGCAATCATCGCAAGTAAGGGTCAGGGCATCTCCTAATCATCCTTCATGGTTAAAGACCTCTCTTAATCATCTTTCATCTCTCATCTTCCATCACTCATCACTCGTCACTACCCGATATATATATATATATATATATATATATATATATATATATATATATTATATAATACGAAAATATTTATATAATTAAATCGAGTAAAATCATATCATATAAGTTCATCCAACACATTGCAGATAATAGACACATATATCATTTAATTATATAAATAACTATGCTCTCACTTGATAAAAATGGGTGACTGATGATTTCGGCAGCGCTTCACTTCATACTTTGAAAAGACCTAGACGCATAAAGTACTAAGCCTTAGTCTAGTTTCGTAATCTTGATGGCTATAATGTGACAACTGTCAATTCTGGATCAAACAAAGTCAACAAGTCAACAAAGCCAACTTAACTAGTATTAGGGTTTTAGGATAAGCGCTATGTTTCCTAACATTCCTAATGTACAATATACAAGTATTAATACAAAGTACCGCTCTTTTCACCCAATATAGAATAAGAATTCGATTTGGATAAACAAGCAGAATTCGATAATTCAATTATATATTATTTTTTTGACAAAAATAATATTCATAACACAATGTGCTAATATCTTTGATGATATTGAGGTTTTTATAATAATTTGAATTTTTATGATTCAAATTCAGTAATTATACATTATTTTATCACACTTTTTTTTTATAAAATGTCACTTTTTTATATAAATGTCAACATTTTTATAAAAAATGAAAGAGTTGACTTTGGGATTTATGGAAGCACTAAACTAGACAAGACTTGCCTCATCTTTTCCAACAAAACCCTTACCCAACATGTATCCAACCTTTTAACCAACAAATATCCATGCATGCTCACCCCACCCTCACCCCTCCCCCTTCCCCTCTCTCTTTAACATCGACCGAGAGGCCCTTCACCCACATCATCATCTTCATCTTTCATCTTTACTCTCAAGAACAAGCTCCAACCTTCCATTCTTAAGTTCCTTCAAGTTGGTTCTTAGATTTTTGGTAAGCATTTCCTTGTTAATCTCGTAATTCTACACACATACATACTAGTTTTGTTACCTTTACACACATTTATATGTGTTATTATCCATAGGATTTTCAAATCTTCAAGTGTTCTTCAAGAGTCTTCAAGTGTTCTAAGCTTGAAAACCTTCATCTTCATCTCTTTATCCAACCACAAACACACTCAAGGTGAGTTCATACCCTATGTTTTCGAGATTTTCATGTTTAAGGGGGAATACAAGAAAATTTGTATAATAACACAAGTTGTTTTGCATGCTTCATCTCTATGTGTATATAAAGTATTATTTGCATGAAATATGATTATTACTAGTTCCTAGAACATTTATATGTGGTATGTTAGTTTGAGATACAAAACTAAGAAAAAAAACATAATCATGCTATATGTTCTTAAGAAAAAGTTATAACCACAAAGCTATAAAGACTAGGATTTTTATGAACAAAATATGTTTTTTCTAGCAAAAATGGTTATAACCTAGTTATTACACCATTTTTGTGGGATATAATCCAAAATATGTTATTTGGGACACATGTCTTGAAACTAGTCAAAAATATCAAAGATTTAGTTTTTCAAAAAGAAAACTAAAAAATCTATCATTTTATGTAAAAGTGGGTTTTCTAACAAAAATGGTCATAACTAGTTTATGGCACCATTTTTGTGGATTTTAACCAAAAGTATTTTGTCTTAAACATATAAAGATAACTTGACTTAAATATCCCAAAAAGGTAAAAATAAGTTTTACAAAGTTATATTTCACTATTTACCGGTTAATCTCGTTAAAAAGACCAAAAACTAGAAAAATGGCTATGTCATGCTAAATGTTCACATATATGTGCTAGATGTAAGCTATATGGTATAACCTTTTAAAAGCATCTAAACATGTTAACTTATATGTATTTATATATATGATTATATATATAGACACAACAAAACATTTATAATAAACTATAATTGGTATGGTTTATGGGTCATTAACACACTTTATCATTTGGACGAAACAAATAATTATTTAAAGGTATAATTTTACACTATGTAACTACTATGGAAAGGTAATACTTCCACTTGCAAAAGGGTTTTCAATACACTATACATAAACCTGTTAATACAATTTTGTGAGACATAGTTTTCACCGTACCTACTTGAGTACATACTAAAGCCCTGAATTATAACCAGAATCTCGGTAAGAGAGCGTGACACTTGTGTATAGATCTATACGGGACTGACAACCCCGCACCTAAATTGTTAGCTACAGTTAGACCGGCAGGCCTGGGGTGACAATTGTCTAACATTCTGACGCCTAAAGAACGTCGCAACAGGCCAACTAGTTTTAGCATGGTTGTAATAACTCACATGGGGTATTAACAATACATTTGGTTTACGAGGCTAACATACATTCAAATGGTTTTATATAACAATAAAACTACACGATACTATTTTCCAATACAACACTACTTACATTTTTGGTCTTAGGGTTTAAGACTTACAGCTTATTTTTAAAGAAAATATTGGATTTTGTGAAAGCGTACTCTATCATTTTACAAG